TCTGATGTGACTGGATCCGTAGTAAACAGACGTTTCGGGAAAAACTGTCCCCATCATCACAGTTCTGATGCGACTGGACTGAATTTCTATCTGTTTTTTTGTTAACAGACATCACTACTTACTTCAAGCGAGATTCGTGGTAAACGAATTTGACACTGGAGCAGGTTTTTCTCGAAGTTATGTTTCCCCTACAAATCATAATTCCACTATTGTTCCAAAATCATATAGCCTTATCATCGCCAAATGCGACTTAAAATCGAATTATACACTAAATTCTACGTTAGCAGCATCACCTCTGACGCAGCACCTGGCGATCTCGAGGTGATATTCATTTCCGTACAAAACTTTTAAAAACGTCAACGAGCTTATCATAAAATTTAAATTCCTGAATCAAACGTCAGGTGGCTTGAGTTACTGAATATAAAATGCAATGTTTAGCACGAACACAGATAAGTGGGGATATTTAAAGCTACGTAAAAATGAAACGAGCTTATTCAAGCAACAGCACTGCGCGATAGCATCTGCATACTTTCAGTGCAGTACACAACGCCACCTGTGACAGCTGCAAGGTGAACTACATTTAAAATATGACAAACACAATGCCATCTTCAAGGCGGAGTCATATCTCGCCTAGTGACGCACACCATTTATTTAACAGCATTGTAGTGTTATAGCAATTTTACGGGACATACGATAAGGCATGCATCAGGTCTGTAATATCTTTCGCGGATAAACATAACAATTACTGAACATTACATATAAGTTTTAAAAAGCTCAAGTCGCGTCAATAAGATTCCTGGCAGAACAGAACGGAGTGATTGATTGCCCTTTCTCTAAAGGATTATCGTTGTTTACGAAGAAATAGTTCCTAAGGTGTACATCGTCTCATCAGAATAAATATGGACTCCAAGCATCACGATGAGACAGCTTTCGGAAAAATAAACTTAACTGTATACCAGATGTTATTAAATCGATAACAGCATCAACTTTGTTTACAAAAATTTGCATTTCTTGTTGAATGCTAGCATACATAAGACTTACATACGCCTGACACGTCAAACGTAAACTATTTAGTCTGTTTTAACAGCAGTTGCTCTGTTACCAATATTCATTGACTGTCCGGATACGAACATAGGAAACTAACTATAAAATTCTCTCGGGCTATCAGCCGCCGTGAAATGAAGAGACCAACGTTTTGAGGTCCAACTCTGTCCACCACTTCAGTACCCTGAGGACGAGGACAGAGATGAACCTCGAAACTAGGGTTTATACAAAAACCGACTTTTGAAAAAACCGGTTTTCGAATTTTTACAAATGAAGAAATATAATTAAAGCAGTAAAAAATATTTATACTTATTTTAAAATTATTCAGTTTATTTAACATTTATGGAACTATAAAAATACAACGAAATAAAATATACTCCATACTAAATCAATTAAAAAAACTAAAATAACTAAAATCTGTACAAAATATAAATTATAAATTTTTATTTCATTTAGTATTTTTCTTCAGGAAATATGATTTCAAAAAACATAAAATGTCCGCTGAACGATTACTTAATCTTGTTCTTATTCTAGATACAAAATTGCCTGATATAGAAAATACTCTCTCACTGGCTACTGAACTTGGTTTTTTCGTTTTCAGGGAATCAAATAATAAATTCTTTGTTCTTTTATTGGTTGCCTCAAATACTGAAAATTCGGCCTTCAGCGTCTTCCGATTTGATATTATTCTTCAGGTTCCTCAAGAAACCTATGAATTGATTTTTCCATTGCTTCTTTTAGAGCATTGCCCTGATTAATAGTTTCTCCGTCTCCGATATATTCGTCATCGGAATCTGTTTCCATACAAGAATTTGGATATATTCTAGACAATATTTTTCCAAATAACTTAATAATATCAAGTTTTGAAGCTAGTGGAAATACACTAGATTTATTTGTTAAAATGTTTTGTGGATTTTGCAAATATAGCAAAAGGGTTACCAATCCAACTTGTCTTCTTTCTTGAATTCGTACTTCTAAAGCATTTAATAATTTGGAACTAATTTCAGCCTGACTCATGAAGATTAGTTTTACTACAATATACTTGTGCCCGAGGCGATTTCAAGTCAAAATATTAACGTTTTTAATTAATTAATTTTTACATATTAATTATAGTATCTAAAACCGGTTTTTTAAATTTTAAAAACCGGTTTTCGAATTTTACAAATTTATCCAAAAAAAACCTGTTTTTAAAAACCGACAAACCCTACTCGAAACGTTGGTCTCTTCATGTTTTCACCAGTTGACGCAGATGATAGCCCGAGAGGATTTTATTGTACACAGTCGCCGTGAAAGCTCAAGATCATACATATACCAACCTAACCATTTGCAAAATATGTGTGCGCAGAATACATTCTAATGGGAAAGGAATACGAACTGCAAATGATAGCATTAATTTCTAACTTCCAGTATAAGTAAAATGTGGTGTATAAACACATCGTGTAATATTTATTTTACCTTCCAATAAACGCGTATGTTAGAACGAAACTTATCTTCGACGCAGCGTCACAGGTTACTTGTAACTCCGTTACAAGCAAGTTTTATTGTCGAATGAATTTAATGTCGTTGGTGTGCAGAGGCAGCTTCATTAGCGCTACAATTTGTGCGAAATGCAAGGTTCCATATATACCCTATTCTCACCACTCAATTATTTAACTATGGCTGGCGTCAAAATGTAAATACACATACGTTTTCTACGTCTTCAAACAAAGCTTTCTTATGAGGTCTTCACATTCTAACACGAAAACACTCGTCCAAGATGTTTTCCTGTGTACTAAATATACTCTTCAAAGAGGTCATGTAAGTTACTCACGCACTTGTTAATTGCTGTGCTATTAATTAGTCAAAGGCAGCTGTTGCAGCCTCGTCCGGGCTCCCTTGTGACACGTTGGTCGCCGTCTCTACTGTTTTAAGTTGTGTTGTTACTACGACGACGAGAACTTCCGGCTGTCACCACACCAATGGACTCTCGTTTGCCTGCTGCAGCCTCCTGAAAGTAACGCAAAACATGATTATGGCCACTTTAACACGGCGACTAAATCAAAAAAGGACAACGTTGTTGGTTACAGTAATGCCACTACGAGGATCAGAAATATTCAAGGTTATTTTACAGGTTTGAGTTTACTCAGGAACGCGAAGAATTAAACTTTTACAAATCGTAACGTTTCAGTGGATAGAAACCCAAATGAACGATAATATAATTTTAATATTTAGCCACAAAAACGCAGACGTAAGCTAAAATCATGTCATGTTTCGTTATGTGCAGACCGTTAAATATTTGTTCCCTTATTTCTATTTCCGAACTCGAAACAAAATAAACGCAGGTTGTGAAATTGTCATCTGTTACGATAACAAAGGCATGTATCAGAATATTACTAGTTAAAATACAATATCGGAGAAAGAGTTTTGGAACGTCTACAATAGAAACGTGTATTCCTGACAAATTATATGTAAAACAAAGGAAATATAATTTCTCCAGAACTTAAAAATGTACAGAACAAGAACATCATATGTCATCTACACCATAAGGTAACGTTCATAAGCTAGATGCTGTATTTCTTAAGCAAAATTGATCTTTTCCACTTCGTTCATCGTCTACATTATAAAATTATGAAACTATGCCGTTTCGTAAGCTGCACTTCGCTTCCTTCTTCAGGGGAAGAGAAAATGAAACCTATAGGCTGGGCCTCCAGACTGACCTTGCCTCAAACCTGGACCATAAATAAACCACACAGGACGCTGTCACCTCGGCATACATCACTTAGTAATGTAACCGCTGTCTGTGATGTACGTTTACAGAATTGGTTTTAATTCTACTTACTCTTCAACTATCTTTATTAAGACTTTCTACTTCATTTCCTTATATATCTTTAATTATCGATTTAAGTTCATTAACGACGTTTTATTCTCCAGTTTCCATATCCTAAAAGATGAATAGCAGAGGAGAGAGATTTATTATTATTATTATTATTATTATTTGTCTCTTACTGGATGTTACACTTCAAAGTGCAGTAACCAAGTATCTTGTATGTAAACAGGTAATATTTGCTCTACTGTCAGTAGCCTTCAACCACAATGCAATTAATCTGTTCATAACGTATCGTAAAATTCAGAAACACGAATCACAAGTATCCCTGTTATAAATATAATGCAAAACTCGGCGAACCGAAACCCCAAGTTACACAGGAGGGCGGCCACCATAAAATAAAAATGTGAAGGCAACAGTTCCCGAAAATCAGGAGCATTCTGCAGATACATTTACATTCCACAACACCAGAAACACACAAGACACGAACACAACTGGCTATAACTTTCAATATGTATACAAAACTTTCAAAATAATCGCTTTCACCAAAGAGACCTGTTGCTTTACAATGAAAAACAGCTCTGGATTTCCTTTCTGATTTGACGTTTTTTGTCGTCTCACCGAATTCTCAGAGACAACATATCTCAACTTGACGCGCGTCTCATAAAAAAGATGGCGCTTACGCCCGAACTTGAGAGCTCTTAATTCAAAATCAATATTGCCTTCCCAGATCCCTTGCTTACCCTTCTGAATGCCACGTAGAAGGCGCAGCCTAAGACTTTACAAAATCACCATCGAAGTTCTGTACAGCCAGGTCAACTTGTCAATTGAGAGACGAGATGGGAGGATATTGGGAGTGGAAGAAGGTTTCTGTACGAGTCTGGTAGTTCCGCTCCGATTCTATAGTCGGCGCAGTAGTTTTTGGCCGGTGGAGAAGCTAACGGACGGGACTACTCTGTGTACAGTCCACAGATCAGGAGAAAATCCCTGCTAGGAATTCGATATACGCGCATGCGCAAGATTTCGCGGTGAGTGACGACCCATCCTAAAAGCATTCGTTCCACAACCACTGAGCGAACAACAGACGACAGGCTTTCATGTGTTCTAATGGGTTCAGCTTTAAGATTACCTCACAGCGGCACAGCGATTTAATCTAGAATATTATCGCAACACCCTCAGAACACATTAGAGGTGCACTCACTACACGCCACTCTTAACTGCTTGATGTTTTCAGTCTGTGTGTAGTAGCGTAAAGCTCTGACGTATCACACTTCCCACAAATAGCAGCCCTCTAGTCCAGCTGATAAGAAACATTCCCCCCGCACCGCACCAGAAACGACTTCAATCAGCAGGGTTTTTCTCCTGCTCTGTGGACAGTACCTGCGGTGGCACGGCCAGTGTATTTCTTTTGTTTGGGCGTTCATTCCGATAAGTTCCTCGGTGCAGTCAGCATTATACTATCGCAAAAGGGACTCGCTCCTAGCCTTCCCCTTGAAAATTCCACCGGCCAAAAACCACTGCGCCGACTATACCTACGACCACTTGTCCACTGCACAGCGCGCGGTGACACACGTCAGCGATGGCCAACACCAGCAGATGCAAGTTCAACCATGGGTTCAACAAATTAATTCACAAAGTACGAAGGGAGAGGAAAACCAGTAATAACAGCGGTACGCTTTACCGACGTTTTCTAGAGTCAACAGAAAGACTTTGAGAGGCATTGACGCGGAAGGACAGATCTAGACGCAACGAGGAAGGCAAATCTCAACATAAACTGCGCGTTTGTAGACAGTTTCATGGGTACTCAACCCCACTAGTAATTAAATGGTAGGCAGCAGATCATGGCGGTCGCGTAAATGTCACCAATTTAAATTATATAATCTTTGTTGCTGAGGTGATCGATCGTGGATGGAGTACAAGGAGGTAGCACGCATGAAGATCTGAGAGAGAATTAAATTCTCAAGGACTCTGAACCATGGAGGTATATATACACACACCCCCCGCCAAAAAATTGATCAACGTGTGACTTTGCACAGGTTGCGTGCCTTTATAACGCTAAAAGACTTCTTCCTGTTTGGCTGGAAAAAAAAAATAACACAACTAAAACACACGACCAACAAACACGCAGAGCACAAGCGGTCTCGTTTAATTTATAACTATGGTACTGTAAATTATGTGACAAATAAATTTTGCCCTGGAAGTGTACAGCAAGCCAGGGAACAAACCTCTGGCAACATGATACAACGTTCATTCGTATGTTTGCAAATGTCCTAAGTTTATCCTACGTCCAATCGTACGAAAATTACATCCAGGACACGCAAGCCAATTTCACAAAACTGAAAGATTTTCTCAAAAGAAGTTCTGCACTCAACTTCAAACACAGAAGACGAAAATTGAATAAATTTGTCTTAAAATTAATTTACTTAAACGGGTTATGATTTACTTTTACAAAATCTTCATAAAACTGGAACAAAATATTCTGAAATTCTCACATATGTTTATATCAATATTCTTGTTTTCAACACTGGAAATACTCTTCCTTTTTGTTTCAAAGTTTTTAATTCGTTGGTTATTTAATGACGTTACATAAGTTTCGCAGAGTGCAACAAGTAGTCGGCTAAGGACAACAGGATACGTGCGGTAAAATACGAAATAATAGGGTTGGAGCCCGATACGTCTGACTTCAAAGTATTAATCACATAAAAGAAATATGGACAACCACGAAACAACTCGGAAAAACCTGTCACTACAAAAGGAATCGAACCCCATACGACCTACATGTCAAACTCAACACCAACTGGCTAATTTTTTCAGATTTATATTTTTAAAAAAAATCGATGGATAATACACTTACATACCACGTTGTACGTAAGGCTTGGCATATTTACATAAAATTAAAACAATTACGATATCTGAAAAGACCTACTTCGAACTCAATAAACCCGAGGCATTTCTCAACGTGTAACGCTCAAGAACTGCTATACACAGCACTCTTCGGGCTACATTATTAAACCAACGAATTATTTCTTGATCAGAAAAGCAGCCAAGTCTGTAAACTTTCAGCAGAATTGAATATTTAAACGTTTGCGGGTTAACTCCAGAACTAAAAATAATTAAAAAGTTGGGTTCACAAATGCTCCAGATACGAACGTACTTTTTAGGTTGTCCAAGTTCCAGAATTAGCGTCTGTAAGTGGATTACTGAGTACTGTAAAGTACGAAGTGGTATGTACATTTCTGAAATAAAACCACAATCTTCTAGGTAGGTGCTAGTATTCTTCAACATGTAACTACAAGAC